ATAAATTGCCTATTGATTTTTTTTTTTAAATTTTGTTTTATGAATGATCTTGTCTACTACTTCAGTATATATGACTATAGTATTAAATTTTTCCGAAACAATTAGAGGCTATGAGGAATTTATTTTGAGACGTAGCTTTTGCGATATGTTAAAACATATAAATTTCATGATGCTATATCTCACCCACTGCGGGACTGAGGACAATTCTATTAATATTGGAAGTTGAGGACTACTAATACTAATATTTGGTTTTGACAAAATGACTGGCACGGATTTTTTTCATATTAAATTTGATTGTCGAACTTGAAGAAAATGACTACATTTTTTACTTCATTTTTCCAATAAAATCATTCATTGCATGGATTATTAGGCCAGATAATGCCCCAAGCAACCGACTTCCTGCAACCCTGTGTTGGGCCGGTCCAGATGATTCATTCGGGAGTTCCACAAGGATCAGTCCTTTTGGACAACTATGCAGATGATACACAGCTGATCGCAAATTATTCCCTTTCAAAAACTGTTCCATCCCCTAATTGTACACATGACATTAAGGCATAGAACTAGAATACTAGTTCTAAGATTAAAGATAGGATGGCAAGAAATATGTTGAAATTGAATTTAATTGAATTAATTAAATCAGAATGTATGTTATGTGGTGCAAATACACATCTGCAAAAATACAAGTTCAAATGTTATGGTTGTACGAGATGCAATATTTGTACCATGAGACACTCTGAAGAAGTTAGGTGTCCTCTTAGGGTCCAATTTGAGCATGTAGTCACATTAGTGGAATTTTTCGAAACTGTTATCTTCGATCCAGGAACATTGGCCAGGAAGCAGTTGCTACACTTTTATGTTCTTTGGTATTCTCAAGGATTGACTACTGTAACAGCCTGTTAGTAGAAACATCTGGTGCCAATATTAAAAAAATCAACTTGTACAAAATACCGCAGCTCGAATTCTTACCAGATCACCAAAATACTCTCATATTACTCCTTTTCTGTAATCACTCCATTGACTGCCAATTCATGAAAGAATCATCTTCAAAAGTCTGTCTTTGACGTATCAGTGTGTGAATGGCTTAGCTCAAATATACTTATCTAACCTTATGCAAATACAAGTTCCCTCGCGTAACCTCCGGCCGAACAAACCGTCATCATTTGCTCAAGGTGCAAATTAAAATGATTTGGATACGGATCGTGATCAGTGAATGCGCCTAAACTGCGGAACAATCTTCCAGAGATAATTAAATCATCATTAAATCCTTTCTTGTTTTACATCAAGATTTAAAACTCATCTTGTTATCAGGATTAATTAAATTAATATAATTGTATGTGCAGTGGACATGCCTCTGTACATGTATTACATGCGCCATATAAATCAGCTGTTCATTTCCCCGTCTTTTGCACAAATAAAATGCGGTTTAGTAGCCAGTTATCCGAAAGAAACTACAATAGCATATTCCTGAAGCAATAGCCCGAGAAATACCGCTCTGGCCATTGCTGGATTGACTTCTAATACTTATGTTTTTTGGGGAGTGTGTCTATTCTTCCCGTTCAATCAAATCGTCTTTCGTTTTATCTGGGGTCTTCCCTAAAATTTTGGAGAGTGATTTAAGGTATTAAAAAGGGTGAAAGTATTGTTCGTCTCCAAACAGTATTGTTTGCATTGTAGCCGTTTTGATAGCCTCGTTTATCGCGCAATCAGTTTTTCTGCAATATTCTGCCATGCACTGGTTAATTGGACGTAATAAATTTCGTGAATCATGACCTAACGTTATGTAAACATATTTGGAGCTCTGTTTAAACTCGAATGATATTGTTACGCAGTTAGGTATTGGCTGTTGATCGGACTATTGACCAGTCATAATTTGGAAAAGAAATTTGCTTTCATTACGGCAGTGTTGAGTGGGATTAGGTCTCATCAAACGAAACACTGCGCGGAGTATTCTACAATAGTGACCCTACTCTCATATACTATTTGTTTTTGTCTTTTTGAAATATCGCTTGAATTGTTTGTCAAGTATAGACAGATGTACATGACTACTACACTATTTAGTTTTTACGATTTGCTGTTCCAAAATTCATCAGCCTTCTACTAGATCATGAGATTATATTGCCGAATTAATAAAATGTTGAAAAATAGTCTAGAGAGGTTAATTGTATTTACCAAGAACAGCTCTTTTGGCATTTACAGTAAATTTAGCTTTTAAAAATTTTAACGGTGTAATTGTGAGCTCTGTTTTCGTGATTAGATACTTATTAGACAGATAAACAGATAGATATTTTGGTACCTTACAACACTAAGTCTCTATACCAAAGACCGCTCAACGTAAGTCCATCAAACTTTCAGAATGTATACTTACTAACCATATCTGCTACCCTATAAAGCTTCATTAATCTACTCGCCGTAGTTTAGTTGTAAGCCATAATTGAAAAGTGGCCGAAAAATGATGATTTTTTTCGGTCTTAAAATCTCAAATATTTTTCTACACTCTAAAAATGGTTCGATTGATCTAAAATTGTGGCAGTGGGGTTTGGAGGGGTTACCCATCATATATAAATTCAAATGGTGAAAATCGATCACCCACCATGTGCCGGTCCCTGCATGGTTCTCTCGCAAACGGATTCTTAAAAGTTGTGAAAGTTGAATCCCAAAACGGAATATCAATTTTATAAATGATTCATTTAGTTTCAGTAATTGTAAAATGCAAAAATCGCTCAATTCGGTAGCTTTTGCCGACAATAAAAACTTTGTAAACTAAAAACGAACAAAAGAAAAACGTCCACAAATGTGATCAAAACGTACCTAAATATAAATAACTGGATTCTTATAAAATAATAAATATTAACCGATCGTTTAGATATTTTATGGACATTATAGACAAGGGACATGAAAAATAATATCATTTATTTTTTTTTAAATATTCACACAAGTCCATTTTAATATAATTTTTTTTTATAATTTTCACCCAAGTCAATTTTAATTTCCACCCAAGTCATTTGTAACATAATTTTTTTTTATACTTTCACCAAAGTCATTTGTAATATAATTTATTTTTTTTTTGATAATTTTCATCGATGTCAATTTTAATTTCCATCCAAGTCATTTGTAATATTATTTGTTTTTTAGAATTTTCACCCAAATTAATTTTAATATAATTTGTTTTTCATAATTTGCACCCAAGTCATTTGTAATATAATTTAATATTCACCCAAGTCAATTTTAATAGTATTTTCACCTATGTCGATTTTAATTTCTAGCCAAGTCATTTCTAATATAATTTGTTTTTCAGAATTTCCACCCAAGTCAATTTTAATATATTTTTTTTTTACAAAAAAAATCTTTGTGGTGGGAAAATAAACGTGAAACGCATTGAAATGAAATGAAATAGGGTTTAACGTCCTACTGTTCTACCCCGACTGGGCTAATGAATGCAATATGCCAGTAAGGAAATTTTGCTCTGACATATGAAATTTCAACTGTCAAGAGTTATTTTACATGCACGCCAATGTGTACTAGGGATCTGGGTATTGATATCAGTATGCACCCAACATCCAGGCATCGAATTCAGCGCACAGTGTGTTGAAAAGGGATAACAAAAACAACGTGGCCTATGTGCACTAGTGAATGATGGGCCACACGCATGGACACAAACACAGAGAGTCTTGTCTTGAAGACAAAGGGCCCTATTTATTACTGGACACAGAGGGTGCCTTTTCTTGAACGTGGGGCACTTCAACTGGATTTGGTGCTTCCTTTAAGTTTAATTTTTAGAGATTTTCACAAAATTCGTTTATATCACTTTCCAATACATTTACATGTATATGGCAAATTTTGGGCATAACACAAACTAAGTCAATTCATGACTATCATATGATTCTTACACCATTTCAATAGTCAGTTTGGGCGTACAAGTCTTTAGTATTAGGGGCGGGGAAACTGGAGTACCCGGATAAAACCCACAAGGTTGGACAAACCATGTCACGCACGAGCGGGAAATCGAAACAACACCACTTGAAGTGTGATGCAATGTTACCTATTCACCCCCCCCCCCCCCCGTTTCAATTCTGAAAATTTAAGATAAGAATCACGCGACGTATAGGAGTCAAACAAGTTATCTGCTTAGTATGGTATTTGATGTTAGGATTTTTTAAAATTGTTTACCACGGTCGTCAAGTTAGATCAAAATAGTATTCATATTGAATACAATAACATTCAAAAGAGAAATCTATGAAGGACTCGACGACTGGTATACGTGTAATCTTAGAGTTACTCCGATAGAATGCACTGACATGTATCATAATAGGAGATCATTTTAACAAATATAACGCTGACATGTATAGCGCGGTTTCTTGGCGTTTGTGGTTAACTTTTATACAAGTGAAATGAAATGGGGAATAACGTCCTGCTTGGCTAATGAAAACAGGCATACGCAATACAGTATGCTGTGAGGGAAATGTTGCCCCGACATCGGCGCAGTACAGCCAATATCAGTGTTAATAATACATAAATAAGTGTAATTAATATTGATATATCTACACATGAGTAAAATAAATGAAATATCTTCAGTTTCTTCTTTACAATTAAGAAGGACATAAAGTGTCACCAGTTTTAATTAATTTTTCCTTGATCCAGATAACATAATGTGGTATTTTAAAATCAATGTTGATATGTTTGGGGTCTTCTTCACATTCACTTTTTTAATAACAATGCGGGCACATAATTATGGTTTTATAATCATTTGGTGTTAATAAATTGTCAACCATTTTAAACATGTATTCGGGAACATAATCAAGATTTGAATGATTATTTATTAAGTCTTTCCAATTGTGTGGTATTGCTGCTTGGGCTATATTATACGGTCTCCATACCATATAAGGGTTTATTTCTGAATATAAATCCCGTTTTCATTAGCCCAGTTTAGGAGCAGAACAGTAGGACGTTAAACCCCATTTCATTTCATTTAATTTCTGAATATAAATACTGACTATTCATAGATATTCTATTATAACGACAAGCACGGAAGTATTTAAATAGAACAACCAAGTCTCTCAAATCTTCGTTACAGGTTGGATATAGTTCAGCATTATACCTGAGACACCGGTAAGTATGTACTTACTATAGTCTGGAATAATGTGATTTTAAATGTTTGTGATACGATAGTTGTAACGGAAATTATTTCCTTTAAATCCAATAGCTCTGCTTGTGTGCAGTGGTCTATTTCGTCAGTTACCAGCATGTGAGCCTTGCTTGGACTACTGTGTGGTTTATCGAAACATTATTTAGACTGGGTTTATTGTCAGAATTGTTAAAACTGAAACGAAATATTGAGTAGAATTTTTGTGAAATAATTTCTAGTTCGATTACTATTAGAACCGGATATTGGACTGACAGTTCTCACTATTTGCAATTTCCAGGGAATATTCGATCTGTAGAAAAGAGGGCGTATCAACATACATTATATTGACGCACCTCCATGGCTGATGCTACACTAAATGAACATCAACGACGACAGTAAGTACATGTGACGTCATTAACTACGTCATTTATTATATTACAAAACTAGACGATATCAGAGCTTTTGGTAAAAGGGACATTTACAAGACACTGATGTCACAGTAAGTACATGTGACGTCATTAACTACGTCATTTATGATATTACAAAACAAGACAATATTAAAGCTTTTGGTAAAAGGGACATTTACAAGACACTGATGTCAATTCCATATAGTTTGGATGATAACTTCTGTCGCTAGAGCATTTCACAGGGTTCTACAAAGTGAAACAAGGGTCGTAGCTCTAGAAGTGTTATCAGAATTTGTTGAAATTCAATAACCTTAATCGCTTTACTAATTTAAATAATGCATATCGGAAGATAACCTTTGTCGACAGAATGTTTAGTAGGTTCGACAAAGTGAAACAAGGGCCATAACTCTGGACTGGTGCGTTTGTATTTACCCCCCTTGTACACAATATTTAGAGTATTTTTAACATAATCTGTCTGAAGTAGAATCAACACACAAGTACTGATCGATTTTCCAAAAGGAATCGATTTTACAGCGGCACTTTAACCTAGCACTGATACGTACACGTAAATTCGTATGACTCAATTCATATTTTTATTTTCCAGGTTGCTTGAACGAATCCGACAACTTGAAGCCGATTTTTCTAGGTTTGTTAATCGTCGACAAGCTACAGTAGCCACATTGTTGGAACTGGCCGATGAATTAAACTCAAGCAAACGCAAGGTCAGGATCAGTAAAATATCCGGTGCCGTTGGTGGAGTAGTTTCAGCAGGTTTAACAATTGCTGGATTGGCAACGATACCCCTATTTGGAGTTGGCGTTGTTTTAACAGCGGCGGGGGCTGGCGTGGGAGTTCTATCTGGTGTCACAAGTGCTGGAGCTGCCATAGGCGATATTGTAGTTAGTAAAAACACAAGAATGAAATGCAACAAAGTGCTCGAGGCAGATAACCAGGCTGTACTGGATTATCAAAATGCAATGGAGGTTTTTAGATTATTTATTCATTCCATAAGAGGCGTGGCTCCTATTGGTAGCGTAGTAACGGCGGGAATTCAATTAGTCAGATTGGTGGACGTGCTCTTGGATGCATCTGGAGCCACACTTAGAGGTGTTGGAGCTGCTATTGACGCTGTGCCCATAGTTGGAGCTGTGTTCAACCTAATCACACTCCCCATAGATATTGGTACCCTGATATCCAACGCAAGAGATATCCATAATTCCACCCCTCATCAGGTAGCAGCAAGTATCACCGAGGTAGCCCAGCAGTTGCAAGACCAACTTAGAGAGCTACAGCTAAGACATGACGAGGAAATGGAAGAACTACAAGATGCTCTTCTAAGTGAAAATAAAATTTCAGCAAGAGAAATTGCTTTTTATGTTTGTGTAATTGTGGTGCTTGCGATTATAAATTTTGTTTTATTCTGGTTCAAAGCGCCTGATGGCCCGCCACTCCTGACCTATGACCTTCCAATGCTTCCATTCGATTAGGGAGTGTGTTTTATTATCAATCTATTGATGTAGTCCACTTAAAACCAGATATCATCATTTTCACACTATCAGCAGTTTTAACAATAAACGATTCTAGCTATATCATACACAGAACTTTGTTTTATGAAAGGGTATAGTTGCTAATAAGGCAATTTGATGCGGAGAACGTAACACATCCCAATTACAATTTCTACATAACAACTTTGAAACTCGTGCGTAAGGTATATTATGCTATGTAACACTACAGATAACAGAAGATCAGTATAATTGATAAGAACTTTATTAAGAACATTAAATAGATATAATTCGGTAGGAGCTCTATTCCAAGTTTGACTTACTGTCAGTAAACACCTGCTTATATAGCGTTCAACAATTAGGGAAGATGGACAAGGGTGATCACCATATATGGTATTGTTTTTTTTATCAAATTATGATATCTGTAATTACACTGCATATTTCCTTGGATGTCATTGTCAGGTCATAGTATGATACACTGACCACTACTACATTCTCTTTGAAGTTCTGCCTAGTGTTATAAACATATCATGTGTAGCTTGTAAAGGACATATTGAATTAATTAGATGTTTAATAAAATCGTAGGCAGTCCGTGCCTAAACCAAGTTTATACAGAGGTGAAATGTCAATATCATATATTATCAAATCTAGCAGAGTTCATGCACCTAAATGATCGTCCAATTTGATGAAAAGTATAAAGATCACTGTGTCACAGCTGAAAAGGGAATGGTTAACTCAACACCAAATAAGACCCCTTAAGATGAACTTTAAATGTTTCTCTTTAGTTTTAATAGTTTACCTTGATGTATAATTCGTTAATATTTCCAGTACAAAAAATGGCATAGTTGATTTGTGTAGGTTTATTTTTGTATTGAAGGAGTATTTTGTTTCGATTTAGGGCATATTTTCATGATAAAAGAATAAACCATGGCTACGTGTGACGTCATTTGACCTTTGATCAGTATGATGGGTGACAATTGATTTTGAGCCTATGTGATGTCCCCCCACCACCACAACATCGTTCTGAGCCCATGTGATGGACACGCCCCACTCCCCCCACAACATCGTTCTGAGTCTAGTATGAAACTATTAATGAATATGTTTTGATAATGATTGGCGGTAAATTGGACCCAAGTTAAATCCAACATGGCCGCCGTATATAATTATTATTATTATTACTTTTTTTAACAATATTTTATTCAGAAATTGAAAGGGATTGAGGAAGAGGCATGGCCTATATGACCTCTCCCGTAACGCTTATAATCCTAACCCTAACCCTAATAGATTACAAATAGACTGATTAATATGCGGGGCGGCCATGTTGGACTAGTTACCTTCCATCATTTTGATTAATATGTCCAATATGTATTTATTTAGAAATAAATAAAACTAATCTTAAATCATGTAAAATTTATCTTTAAATGAATCAACAACTGGTGTTCCTCCTAAGATAAAATTTGAATTTTGGTGTTGAACCTATATATTCACCATATTTAGAAACAATCATAATTTACACAACTAAATGAAATGCGATGTACATGTACATCGAAATGGCGACTGTAAGAAACGCAACTGGTCGGTTGCAACCAATCCATGCGTTCAAAACGTAGTTCTGAAAAATATTGTCAAATGGGCTCAAACTATATGCGAATGAAGTGAACGTAGTAGCAACTGTTTACGATCTGCTTATGAACTTCATGGACGGGAAGATGGTTTAGAACTTTGAGCTTGTTCAAATTTTCCCTTTCTGTAATTAGACAGAGTGAGTGAGAACTAATTTGGTGTGATACAATCTGATTAAAATACAGATCTATATTTCGTTTCGTTTCTTTTATACTTTCGATGGCCTACACTCAATGAAGATCTGACTTGTTGTAGGGATAGTTCGCGCCAGAGGTCATACGAGCGGCTTTTGTCCCAATGACGTCAGATAATTGATTAACCAATTAGCAGTGATGTTTCGAGTGGATTACCCACAGTTCCCTGCACGACACGCCAAAAGCTCGCCGTGACAGACCGTTTCATTGGCTTATCCCTCACATTATCCAGAACACGTCAATGATAACAACTCTTACAGATCCTAGTGTAGTAAAGACAAGTAAAACGAAATTTTGAACTATAAAAAAACTAAACGAAATAGGATCTGTGTTTTAACCATATTGTCAGATAATTCGCTTTCAGACTGTTTTTGTCTGACAATCTTTTACTATAGTTCTAGAACAATTAAACTGAAATTTTGCAAAAAAAAAAAGAAAAGAAAAAAAAAAAAATTGGTAGGCCTATATATATAATCTTTAAGAAAACATGTTTTTCTTTTGATCATAATAAAGTGGTCCCAGCCATTATCCCACATGTGATAGAACCGGTTAAACACATTTCAAATATAATTTTAACACAGAGATCATGTCTGTATCTGCATACTAGCGGATGACCCGATGCTGCACGAATTGAAAGTAGTATAACTCTAAAACAGGAAGCGGTAGGCCGATGCCACATAGGCTATGTTACTCCCCGGTCCAAACTACCTCTTTACACTAAGGGCCTGTTTATATGAAAACGGGCACCCTGATAGTGACGTCATTCTATTAAAATACAGTTTGATTTACATAAAGTATTTATAAAGAAAGCGGCCTGGCCCTTTTAACCGAGTTCCCCGTTCTTCAGACCGAGAAGCTCGGTTAGAAGAGCCATCCCGCCGTTCATATAAATAAATTTCCGGGCTATAAAAGCGGGTCGACGCGTGCGCAGAATTCATTTAAAGAAAGCATGGCGGCGTCAAGTAAACAAACCAAGCGAAAGTTGTCTTGTACAGAAAACAGTAGCACACATAGAATTTCAGCGAGAGAAATTGCTTTTTTTATGTTTGTGTAATTGTTGTGCTTGCGATTATAAATTTGGTTTTATTCTGGTTCCAGGGACCTGATGGCCCGCCACTCCTGACCTATGACCTTTCCATGCTTTCATTCGATTAAAAGATGTGTTTTAATATCAGATGTTTGTATGATCTGAATTCTGATTCACAATATTGAAAAATGGCCATGTTTGGGCTTGAGAGAGCGCCTCTTTAATACGTTTGGACCAACTTTTACCAATAATATGTGGCAAGCGTATTTAAATACCTTTCAAAATATTTTTAGTTGGATCCTCAGAATATTGTTCCATGATTCTAATTTTGACTCGGAATATTAACAGTCGTTGTGTAAAGATTATTTTAAAAATTGTTAAGTATGAGAGCGCACTCCTTTAATATGATTGTGTCAGCTGTTATTGATGTTCATTGAAAAACTTATTTAAAGATACATTATGGGAGATAAGATAAAAGAGCTGGCAGTTCTCACTATAATAGTCAATAACTAAATGATGTAAATGGAATATGCCGATACTTGCAATCAAATTGTTTCACTCTATTTTAAAATCACTGTAGCTTCGATTGGCATTGTTACCGCTGTCACGATAATTAACAAAGTCTCAATTATCCATTTTTGCGTTTAATCCTCAGCGGACGTTGAGCAGCAGATCGGATTCAAATCCAATAAAAATCGGACACACAAGATGGCATCGAGAGTTGATTATAGTCTTGTCATGCTAATAAATGTCTAATTGATAGTTTATATAACATATCAGGCCCAAGGAAAGAACCTGCATTAGGCAGATTTAGCTCTTGCATAATGCATGTCTAATTAACTTTAAGAATATATTTAGTTAGATGCTATGACAATCCGAAATTAAACTTGTTTTTGGAGCTAAAAGAAGAGCTTAATATGGCAATAGTGTACGGTATCATATATTCTACTTTCATTTTATACAATGTAACGTTGGGTTGTCTTGGTTGATAAATATAGAAGAGTTTGGGCGATTCCGGTGTTTATTATGAATAGGTTGACAACCGAAATGTTGCTAGCTTGATGGTCGAATCTGCAGGTAGGCGAATAGGTTGCCAAACTATGTTCGGCCCAGAGTTGGGCCCTCACTGATCAGCAGTGAATATTCACTGAAAGGAATGACATCGGTGCGGCTTAATGAGCTCGCGATATTAACCCGTAAAACATTTATTTTTTTTAAAGTATTAGAAAAATAAATAAAGGTGTTTGAAGTATGTCTAGATGAAAAATAGTTCTTATTTAGTGTAAATGGGTATAAATACAAAGAGTAAAAGGCACCATTCTGCCGGCACCAGTTAACGCCACAGAATATATAACCCTATTTAGAGTTATCAAAATATTTTGTTGTTTTTTTATTTTCAGAATACCCCCTCTAGAAACGATTAACTTCTGTGGGTTTGAAAAATAGAAAAGGACGAAACTAATCTTTTCTAGAGGGGGTATTCTGAAATTAAAAACAAAAATTTTTGATAAATCGTTATAGGGTTATATATTTCCGGAGAAATTCAGTTAAATTGGACTACATGTGTGCTTTCTCCGAAAACTGACATATCCTTTGAAAATGCTAATGGGACTAAATTCACGGGGAAATTTAAATAAGAATAAAACTGGTTTCGCCGAATAAAGGACGCCCATCATCAAAACGTGACACAACCTGAATAGTTCTAATGTAGCTGAAGACCTTCACTACCGAACAGGCCAACGCGAGAGCAGTTTGACTTCGTATCTTCGCCTTCGCAAATATTCGCGTTTGTTATGTATCTGTTAAAAGCGCATAATATGTAACAATCAAGCATTTCTGGTATTTTCGTCCTTTGCGAAATGGCCGTGTTCAGCACCTATTCGGTGGAAAGAGATAGAGAATAGGGTTTAACGTCCAATCGACACAAACTAGGTCATTTCGGGTCTATCATATGGTTCAATTTTATTTCAATAATTTGGATGGGAATGGAAACCACACCACTCGAATCAATGACTGAAATTAGTCAGTAAGACCACATATGGGCTTATGAATACGACGAATCATTTATCTCATTGTACAGATTAACATCAAACGATGATGGTATTTGTAAATTTCGTTTCAATTAAATGAATCTGAATAGAATAAAATATGTGGTAGTCAAAGTTTAACCAGATACTCTCTAGATATCAAGTCATATCATGTCGATTGTGTTCAATAATACTTAAAGGGACAATCTAGATTATATTTTGGAGAATACAATTGCTTAAGTTTGTGTGAAAAGCCCTTACAAACCTCTGCCCTAGTGCTGGGCAACTAACTCAATATACGTGCCACATTTTCAAACAACTTAAACCAGCAATGCTTTAACATCAGGATATGGAGACCGGTGTCCCAAGCTGTATTATACAGTTTTTAGATCAAACGTTTATTTTATACAAATAACGTGTAGATGGAATTTACCATTCGTTATCAAGTACAGCATTGTATAGACCTCTAAAGGAACAAAATATTATCAGGTCCCCCAACGGAAAAATTGACCCGAAATCTTAAAGGGTTATGTGTCCGGGTAAGCGGTTTTGACGTTCACGTCCAAACGACTCAATATTTTGAGGTGAAATTTTCAGACAAGTTAATTACACCAGTCCTCTATATGTTGGCGTTTATATTTCAGACAAGTTAATTACACCATTCCTCTATATGTTAGCGTTTATATTTCAGACAAGCTAATGACACCATTCCTTTATATGTTTGTGTTTATATTTCATACGTACATGGACTTTTATATCTGAGACTCTGTTAAAATCGGTGTTGTCCCTTTGTCCTTAAAAAAAGACGATTTGATTTGCAATGTCTGCAAGCTGTTCCAGGACTTTTATTCAACATGATATAATATCTTTAATAAAAGTGTACAGATAAACGAAACAACAAAAACTGTCTGCAATTAGCATTTTATTTCTATCACGCGACATATACGGGCCCAACAAGTTATTTGCTGAATATGGTATTTGATATGTTTATCAAAATTGTTTACCACTGTCGTCAAGTTAGTTTACAACCATGGTGTAAGGCATGGTTGTAAGTATTCCTATTGTGTATAATATCACTGAAACGAACAATCTATGAATAACTCGACGACTGATATACCTGTAATGTTAGAGTTACTGACATGTTATGTATAATAACTGCTGTACGTTTTTGGTATACTTTTAAAATGTGCTACGATGCAAAGTTATGATGACAAATTATATAAACAATGTATAAAATTGGTAAGTTCAGTTCAGTTCAGTTCCGTTCCCTGTTCCGTTCCACATTTTAGCAACACCCAAAAATTAGCTATGATAAACTGAATGGAATGAAACGAAATTGGGATTAACGACCTACTGCTCCAACTGTGCTAATGAAGACGTACATACGCTAAATACAAAAAAAAAATGTCAGCAAGGCATTAAAGCTCATTGTATTCATTTATTCACTTGTTACCCGTTAAATAAATAATTGAATACAATGAATAGCCCTTTGTACATCGTTACAAAAGAACCGAAACTAGAGGACACGATTCATGATCGTGACACAAACT